CTCTTAATTCAAAGATCAGTCATGTGATTTTACTTTTAACATCTTAAACTTTATGTTTTCCAGTGTGGGAAGAATGAAAGCTTGAATTTATTTGGTGAGTTCACAATGATTTTTTTTGTTTGCTTCTGGCTTTAAAATAAGTTGGATAGATTTACTTGTTTTCTTTACTATTCCTAAGCAGCATTAACATGAATGAATGTTCAGTCTGTTTTCCTCCAATCCCTAGAGAAGTAATTTTTAAGAGGTTTTTATGAGTTATATAAATGAATACTTAGCTTCTAGAAGAGTAGAATTTAAACTACAATATACAAAATGCACAAACTTAGGTTACCATTTGTGCAAATCAACTTTTGATTAACCTGAATGATAATTGTTTCAACTCGAGAAACCTTTTTCTTTTGACAGTGCTGAGCCTCAAACCCAGTCCTGAAAACATGCTAAGCACACTCTCCCACTCAGCTCTATCAGCAGCCATTATATTGTTTTGTTTTCTAAAGTGTGTTTCTTAGAGAGTCCTATCTCAGAACTTGTGGGACTGAAATTGAGGACCATGAGTTTGAGTGTAGAGTGAGATACATAGCAAATTGCAAGCTAGTGTGAACTCTATCATGACACTATCTCAAAAACAGAAAAAAGAAAGTTTCTTATTTTGATTTCTTTGCAACAGGCTATAGATAAATAATATTGTTTTCATAACTGTGCTGATTAACTTAATAGTGACACAAAGATATTTACATATAAAATTTTTCCTGTTTTATGTACAAATCTGATTTTCAATAAATTGTGTTTATAGAATTCTGAAAGCTATCTCAATCTAATGTAGTCCATTCTTAGGCAAACAATAATGTTTGCTTCTTTTCTACTTCTAGCTCTAGATAATTTCTAATAGGTGATTTTTCATCATTAATTTTTAATTTTCAAGTGTCACACATAAAGCAAACACATAATCTGATATTTATTTATTTATTTATTTATTTATTTATTTATTTGGAGACAGGGTTCCTCTGTATAACAACCTAGCTGTCCTGAAACTAAGTATGTAGATCAGACTGGCCTTGAACTCATAGAGCTCTGCCTGCCTCTGTCTGCCTCTGCCTCCTGCAGTGCTAGGATTAAAGACAAGCGCCACTGCCACCTGGGCAATATGTAATGTTTGGGTATATCTTTTTCCCTGTTTTTGAAATTAATGTTATATTATGCAATAGTGTGCATTTTAAATTATTGGTATTTATATGGCATACTAATGGTATTCCATTATATATGCACAAACCACTTTACTCGTTTGTTGGTTAACATTTGGGTTGTTTTTACTTTGAGACTATTAAATTGACAGAAAAGAACTTAATTTTGCAGAATCAGTTTTTCAATTATGTTTTGATTGGCTTGTGGATATAAAATTGTTGAATGTTAATTTAAATAATAGTTGAATTTATGTTTATTTAAATAGTAGTATTCCAGATAACTTTCCTTTTCTGTTCCTATGAGCAGCTGTTGAGCTTTCAATTCCTTCAGTCTTTATTTGACTTTTTTCTAGTGAATGTATAGGATACTCTTATTCGGGGTTTTATTTTGTAGGCCCCTCATTAATGGATAAGTAACATGGCACGTCTTCTCATATACTTATTTGGTACATGTTTTCATACTGGCCCAATGTAAGCTTTTGAGTACATAGTTTTTAAACTTTTTCATTTTTATAAACCTTTTTATTGTTTTATTTTATATGGATGAATATTTAGCTTGCATATATGTGCACACTGTATGCCTAGTGCTTTCAGAGGACAGAAACAAGTAGTATTTCTCGTGGAACTGGCCAGTAGTAAAGCTTCTGTTTAGATGCTGGAAATCAACCCTTGATTTTCTGTAAGAACAGCCACTGCTCTTAACTGCCGAACCATCTTTCCAGCCTTTCCTTTTGTTATTTAAAAGCAATTAGAACTGGACTGCGGTGGCACAGGCCTTTAATCCCAGCATTCAGGAGGCTGAAGCAGGGGGATCTCCGAGTCCAAAACTAGCCTAGTCTACAGAGGGAGGTCCAGCACAGCCAGGGCTGTTACACTGAGAAATCCTCTCTTGAAAAATGGGAAAAAACAAACAAAAACTACCCTGATTGAATTTAATCACCCTGGTTCAATGCAGTTTATACATAATATAAATAATGAAAAGGGAAAGCCATTTTTTAACAATGACCTTCTTGCAAGAAAATAGGTATGTTCCTCAGTCTTTCTATAGAACAGATTTAAGCCAGTACCAAAACAGACAGATACGAAGCCAGTACCAAAACAGACAGATACGTTGCTCTCGATCTATAGAACAGATTTAAACTAATAACAGAAAGTTACCCTGCCTTAATTTAATGAAAACTTTTTAGTTTTATTAGCAAGACAAACCATAAGAAAACAATAAGATTGTCATGAAATTTTTACATAGGCTGTTTAAATGATTACTCATAGACAACAAAAGTAAGAATTTATAAGATATTATCATCACTATGGAGATAATGGATACATAAGTGTGCATATTTTATCTTTTTTTTTCTTTTCCACTTTTGGTCTATTACTTGTCTAGGATCACATTATTTCCTTTGGGGTGTTTTGTTTTATTTTTTTATTGATATTTATTGAGCTCTACATTTTTCTCTGCTCCCCTACCTGTTTCTTTCCCGCCCCCCCCCCTCCTTAAACTCTCTCCCCAGGTCTTTATGTTCCCAGTTTATTCAGGAGATCTTATCTTTTTCTACTTTCTACTTCCCATGTAGATTAGATCTATGTAAATCTCTCTTAGTGTTTTCATTGTTATCTAAGTTCTCTGGGGTTGCGGTTTATAGCCTGGCTTTTCTTTGCTTTATGTTTAAAACCCACCTATAAGTGAGTACGTGTGATAAATATCTTTCTGTGTCTGGGTTATCTCACTCAAAATAATGTTTTCTAGCTCCATCCATTTTCCTGCAAAATTCAAGCTGTTGTAATTTTTTTCTGCTGTGTAGTTCTCCATTATGTAAAATGTACCACATTTTCCTTATCCATTCTTCGGTCGAGGGGCATTTAGGTTGTTTCGAGGTTCTGGCTATGACAAACAAAGCTGCTATGAACATAGTTGAGCACAAGTTCTTGTGGCATGATTGAGCATCCTTTGGATAAATACCCCAAGGTGGTATTACTGGGTCTTGAAGGAGGTTTGTTCCCTAATTTTCTGAAAAACCACCACACTGCTTTCCATAGTGATTGCACAAGTTGGCATTCCCACCAGCAATGGATGAGGGTAACCCTTCCTCCACAACCTCTCCAGCAAAGGCTATCATTGATGTTTTTGATTCTAGCCACTCTGACAGGTGTAAGATGGTATCTCAGAGTTGTTTTGATTTGCATTTCCCTGATTGCTAAGGAGGTTGAGCATGACCTTAAGTGTCTTTCGGTTATTTTAGATTCCTCTGTTGAGAGTTCTTTGTTTAGGTCTGTACTCCATTTTTTTATTGGATTTTGTGATCTTTTGGTGTCCAATTTCTCAAGTTCTTTGTACATTTTGGAGATCAGACCTCTGTGTGATGTGAGGTTAGTGAAGATCTTTTCCCATTCTGTAGACCTTCGTTTTGTCTTGTTGACTGTGTCCTTTGCTCTACAGAAGCTTTTTTGTTTCAGGAGGTCTCTTTTATTAATTGTTTTTCACAGTGTCTGTGCTTCTGGACTTATATTTCGAAAGTGGTGCTGTGTGCCAATGTATTCAAGTGTATTCCCCACTTTCTCTTCTGTAAGGTTCAGTGTTGCTGGCTTTATGTTGAGGTCTTTGATCCATTTGGACGTTAGTTTTGTATATGGTGATAGGTCACATTATTTCTTGACAATTGTCATTTTGTATTTAAGAAAAATTCATGTTTGTCCTCACCATAATGATGTTTAATATCTAAAAAATTTAGTAAATTTTTCAGTCAAAAATTAACTTTTATTGGTTTCCTTTGTTTATGGTTATTACTAAAGTTTATAGTACTTTAACTTATTCTAAAGTTAGACTCTAGGTTATGATTATATTTTGCTTACTTAAGTACATGAAAATGAGCTTTTTTCCTTTTGTGCCTCTTTATTCATAAAAAATATAACCATTTTGTATACGAGAAAAATTAATCCACGAGAAAGACTACATTATTATTATAAAACCATTATTATTATATTATTTTACCTATGTATTGGTAACTGATCAATTACCAATATGATCAAACAATTCCTTTGGTTATTCAGTTTTCACTCTATCTAGCTTGCTTTTTGTGATCATGACTTCTTTTAGCTGGAGATGGTTCTTGTGATTATTTCAGGTAAATGTCAGATTATTCCTTTTTACTTTATTTGACTTCCAACACTTGGCTTTTCGTGTGAAACTTGGTTTTCACTAATTGGCACATTATTTTCTTAGAGATATTTAACAAATACCAAGTTCTAACCTTAGAAAGGTGGTCTAGCCCTGTCCAGGCCAAAGTCAGGCTTTATTAGCATCCTTAGAAAAGACAGGAAATTTTATTTTCAGATTTATAGCTTTGGTTAAAAAATCACTGTCCTAAATATTTTAAACGTTTTAATCAATGCTATTGTGTTATTTTGCAAAATCTCTCGCCATAATGTAATCCTTTGAGGATTCTAGTGTTATACTTTGGCCTTTACTTAACTGGCAAGTCTTGTTTTCTCGGTAAAACAGTTTATCAGGGTGAGTAAAAATATTGTTAAAATTTTTATTACTTTTGTTTCATTTTTATAATCCTGTATTACAAATTATAGAGATCTTGCTTAAATTTGGAGTGGTCATTAAAGTTAGGTTGATTTCCTATTCGTCTTTTCAATTTTTATTATACTTTTAGGTTATTAAAGTAATTTCTGCAGTATTGTTTGCTCTTGAATTAGAGATTTTAGGGATTGGCACATGCTAGTACTTTCTCTCTTATGAGTAGATTATAATTTCTTCTCTTAGGACAACTCCATAAACAGACAAAACTAGCGAAGGTCTTTTCTTTGGTGATCATGACAGTCATGACTCGTGGCTCTCCAGTAGGAGGGAATGAAAACCAGGGGCAGGCTCCTGATGGGCAGTCTCAGTCTTCTTTCCAAAAGAACCAGGTATGATTATAGTATATTTTAGGGTATTGTAGAAAATTAACAATTGGATAATAGTTCTGAACTTTTAACCAAAAAAGCTGTCTCATTGTACTTAAGAAAAATGACTAGCTGTTAGTAACAGGAAAAACTTAAATATTATGTATGCTGAAGACTTGTGTTTACTTTGTTTAAAGATAATTATGAATCTGGAGCAAAATTATTAAGTTACTCATTATAGCTGGTCAGAAGCATAGAGTGAAATAAGCTATTTATGTTCAAGTTCCATGCAAGTTACTAAACTTTAAACTTGTTTCCCTTCATTTGTAAAATAAAAATCAATGAAATATTTGTTTAAGTATTAAGATATAGATGAGTATTAAAGTTTTGTTTTGATTTAGATCTCAAAAATTGTTTCTTTTCCTGTCATGGGAGTAAGAATTTTTATTCACAAGTAAGATTTTAGAAAGGACCAATTATCTAATGTTGATAATTTACTTTCATTTTTTGTTATTTATTAACTTATTATGTATGGAAAACAGAAAACATGGAATATATGGAAGTGCATATTTACTTCCACCATTTATGTTGTTGGGATTTAACTCAGATTATCTGACTTTGTATGCATCTTTAATCTTCCAGACTCCCTCCCTTCTTTTCTTCTTTCATTCCTTTGTGCAAGTCTATGTGTATGTTTACATTATTCCTCCTTTATCTTGAGCCTATATTTCAACATTTCCAAAGCCACATAAAGAGAAGGTGTCTAAACAGATATGTAAGCACTATGTTAAAAATACTATGAAACTGGGAATTCAATAAGTGTATATACACTATAGATAAATAAAAGTAATATTTTTGTGAAATAAAAAGAACTAATAACACAGTGCAAAACTTAATCCTGGTACTCAAAGATTTTTATTTAAAAATTTTGATCTGTTATTTCTAGGATTGCCACCTAACATTTAGCAATTAGGCACTACTTTATCTTGCTTAAAACCATATGAAAAATTTTAGTAATTACTTCTATTTAGTTTTCTTTCTTCTTTTTTTTGGATATATAAGTATCTCACATTTCTGGATATTAGTGTTTTTAATTCACTCTCTGCTTTTCTGTGTTGGAACACTAGTCTATTAACAATCCCGTCCATATTTTCCTTCTTTCTTATTATACTATTTATTGCTAATATTTTTTTATTGCGAAAAGAAGAAAAAAAAACATAAACAAAAAAACAAGTTTCCACCTCCTCCCAGCCTCCCATTTCCCTTCCCCTTCTCCCACCCTTCTCCCCCTCCTCCCACCCTTCTCCCCCTCCCCCCACTCCTCTCCCCCTCACTCTCCAGTCCAAAGAGCAGTCCGGGTTCCCTGCCCTGTGGTAAGTCCTAGGTCCTCCCCCCTCCGTTCATATCTAGGAAGGTGAACATCCAAACTGGCTAGGCTCCCACAAAGCCAGCACATTAAGTAGGATCAAAACTCCCTGCCATTGTCCTTGGTGTCTCATCAGCCCTCATTGTTCGCCATGTTCAGAGAGTCCGGTTTTATCCCATGCTTTTTCGGTCACAGTCCAGCTGGCCTTGGTGAGCTCCCCGTAGATCAGCTCCACTGTCTCAGTGGGTGGATGCACGCCTCGTGGTCCCGAATTCATTGCTCATGTTCTCCCTCCTTCTGCTCCTCCTTGGGACCTTGGGAGCTCAGTCCAGTGCTCCTGTGTGGGTCTCTGTCTCTATCTCTATCCATCACCAGATAAAGATTCTATGATGATCTGCAAGATATTCGTCAGTATTGCTCTAGGATAGGGTCATTTCAGGTTCCCAATCCTCAGCTGCCCAAGGAACTAACTGGGAACCTCATCTTGGGCACTAGGGAGCCCCTCTAGGGTCAAGTCTCTTGCCCACACTAAAGTGGCTCCCTTAACTAAGAATTGTGGTTCCGTGCTCCCCTATCCACCTTTCCTTTATCCCAATTCTCCTGTTTCCCCAGGTCCCCCCTCCTTCCCTTCTACCTTTTCTCTCCCCATCTCCCCTTACCCCCATCCCACCCCACCCCCAAGATCCCATTTTCTCCCCGGAAATTTGGTCTACTTCCCTTAGCCAAGAGGATAACTATATGTTTTTCCTTGGGTTCACCTTCTTACTTCGCTTCTTTAGGTTCACCTATTGTAGACTCTGTGACCCTTATTTATGGCTAGAAACCAATTACGAGTGAGTACATCCCATGTTCATCTTTTTGGGTCTGGGATACCTCACTCAGGATAGTGTTTTCTATTTCCATCCATTTGCATGCAAAATTCGAGAAGTCATTGTTTTTTACCGCAGCGTAGTACTCTAGCGTGTATATATTCCATACTTTCTTCATCCATTCTTCCATTGAAGGGCATCTAGGTTGTTTCCAGGTTCTGGCTATTACAAATAATACTGCTATGAACATAGTTGAACAAATGCTTTTGTCATTTGATAGAGCCTCTCTTGGGTATATTCCCAAGAGTGGTATTGCTGGGTCCAGGGGTAAGATGATCCCGAATTTCCTGAGAAACCGAAACACTGACTTCCACAGTGGTTGCACAAGATTGCATTCCCACCAGCAATGGATGAGGGTACCCATTCCTCCACAGCCTCTCCAGCAAAGGTTATCCTTGGTGTTTTTGACTTTAGCCATTCTGACAGGTGTAAGATGATATCTCAAAGTTGTTTTGATTTGCATTTCCCTGATTGGTAAGGAAGTTGAGCACGACCTTAAGTGTCTTTTGGCCATTTGAACTTCTTCTGTTGAGAATTCTATGTTCAGATCAGTGCCCCATTTTTTAATTGGGTTAATTAGCATTTTAAAGTCTAGTTTCTTGAGTTCTCTATATATTTTGGAGATCAGACCTTTGTCTGTTGCGGGGTTGGTGAAGATCTTCTCCCAGTCAGTAGGTTGCCTTTCTGTCTTAATGACCATGTCCTTTGCTTTACAGAAGCTTCTCAGTTTAAGTAGGTCCCATTTATTCAATGTTGCCCTTAATGTCTGTGCTTCCGGGATTATACATAGGAAGCGATCTCCTGTGCCCATCTGTTGTAGGCTATTTCCCACTTTCTCTTCTATCAGGTTCAGTGTGTTTGGGCTGATATTGAGGTCTTTAATCCATTTGGACTTAAGTTTTGTGCACGGTGATAGATAAGGGTCTATTTTCATTCTTCTACAGGTTGACAACCAGTTGTGCCAGCACCATTTGTTGAAGATGCTTTCTTTCTTCCATTGTATACTTTTAGCTCCTTCATCGAAAATGAGGTGTTCATAGGTTTGTGGGATAAAATCCGGGTCTTCTATACAATTCCATTGGTCGACTTCTCTGTTTTTATGCCAGTACCACACTGTTTTCATTACTGTAGCTCTGTAATAGAGTTTGAAGTCAGGGATGGTAATGCCTCCAGAAGATCCTTTATTGTATAGGATTGTTCAGGCTATCCTGGGTTTTTTGTTTTTCCATATAAAGTTGATTATTGTCTTCACCAGATCTGGGAAGAATTTTGTTGGGATCTTGATGGGGATTGCATTGAATCTATAAATTGCCTTAGGTAGAATTGCCATTTTTAATATGTTGATCCTCCCAATCCAAGAGCAAGGGAGGTCCATTCATTTTTTGGTATCCTCCTCAATTTCTTTCTTCAATGCCTTAATGTTCTTGTCCAATAGATCTTTCACTTCCTTGGTTAGATTTACCCCAAGATATTTTATGCTGTTTGTGGCTATCGTGAATGGTGAAGCTTCTCTGATTTCCCTCTCTGCTTCCATATCCTTTGTGTATAAGAGGGCAACTGATTTTTTGGAGTTGATCTTGTATCCTGCCACATTACTAAAGCTGTTTATCAGCTGTAAAAGTTCTTTGGTGAAGTTTTGGGGGTCGATTATGTACACTATCATATCATCTGCAAATAACGAAAGTTTAACTTCTTCCTTTCCAATTCGAATCCCCTTGATCCCATTATGTTGTCTTATTGCTATTGCTAGAACTTCAAGCACTATATTGAAGATCTATGGCGAGAGTGGACTGCCTTTTCCTGTTCTCTCTCTGTCGTTTGATTAGTTTGACTAGGGGTTTATCAATCTTGTTGATTTTCTCCAGGAACCAGCTTTTTGTTTCATTGATTCTTTGGATTGTTTTCTGTGTTTCTATTTTGTTTATTTCAGCCCTCGATTTGATTATTTCCAGTCGTCTACTCCTCCTAGGTGAGTCTGCTTCTTTTTTTTCTAGAGCTTCCAAGTGGGCTGTTAAGTCTCCAATATGTGCTTTCTCTGTTTTCTTTCGGTGGGCACTTAGTGCTATGAACTTTCCTCTCAGGACTGCTTTCATAGTGTCCCATAAGTTCGAGTATGTTGTTTCTTTATTTTCATTGAATTTAAGGAAGACTTTAATTTCTTTCTTTATTTCTTCCTTAATCCAGGTATGGTTCAGTAGTTGACTGTTCAGTTTCCATGAGTTTGTCGGCTTTCTGGGGGTAGCATTGTTGTTGAATTCTAACTTTAATCCACGGTGATCTGATAAGACACAGGTGGTTACTAATATTTTTTTTGTAACTGTGTAAGTTATCTTTGTTACCAAGTATGTGGTCAATTTTCGAGAAGGTTCCATGAGCTGCAGAGAAGAAGGTATATTCTTTCCTCTTTGGGTGGAATAATCTATAGATGTCTGTTAAGTCCATTTGCTTCATTACCTCCATTAATTCTCTAATTTCTCTGTTAGGTTTCTGTCTGATTGACCTGTCCATTGGTGAGAGAGGAGTGTTGAAGTCTCCTACTATTAGTGTGAGCGGTTTGATGTCTGCCTTGAGTTTTAGCAATGTTTCTTTTACGTACGTGGGTGCTTTTATATTCGGGGCATAGATATTCAGGATTGAAACTTCTTCCTGATGAATTGTTCCTGTTATGAGTATAAAATGTCCCTCTCCATCTCTTCTGATTGGTTTAAGTTTGAAGTCAACTTTGTTAGAAATTAGTATGGCCACACCTGCTTGTTTCTTAGGTCCATTTGCTTGATAAGCCTTTTCCC